TACACACACACACACATACACACACACATACACACACACACATGTATACATACACACACACACGTGTGTGTGTGTGCGTGTAGCAGCCTGTCTGCTGCTAACATTCATTCTGCTTGGTTGCAGGGTCTTTGCACTGCATTCACCTAATTTACAGAGTGAAGCTATCAATGCATGATGCAATGAGGGACTTGTTGCAGACCCTGATGCTGATTAGGCTCAAAGGGAGCAACTGGTCCAAGATTACCCAGCTGGCTTCTGTGTGCAAGGGAGGACTAAAACCTAGCCCAGCACCTGAACCACTGCACCACCCAAAAATGTGGCCACCTATCTTTTGTTGTAAAATTGAGTCTTGACCTCAAACCTCACCCATACTTGTTTTCTTCATTTGCTATATTCATTTATCGGGGGGAAAAACCGCCACTGATTCTGCACATAAAATGAATGGAATGTAATAGTAATCACTCTTTGTGCTATGTAAGTGTTAGACTCTGTACAGCATCAATAAAAATGGCAAAAGAAATGACAAAATTGGCACAGGATTCCAATGTGAGTTGCTTCACTAAAGTAATCAGATCTAGCAGTAATTGAAAAAACAGGACGTATTAACGCTTAAAAGCGTGAAGCCTCGGAAATGTGATGTAAGCTTTCATTTTTGTTTTGGCAAAACTGTATGCATATTAAACATGCAATTTTATGCAGTAAACTATTGATAATGATACTGAAGACAATGAAATAAAAAGACCTAAGCATATGAGCCGCATTGAAAACAACATCAAACTCTGTATTATCCAACTCAGCTGCTTTCTTGGCCATCTCTGCTGCTTCCATCAACCGAGATTCTTCTAACAGAAACTGGCCTGAAAAGCAGATATTAACAATTACATCATACATCACACTTCAACGCTGACAGGGCTACATGTATATGATATCACTCCATGATCCAATGATAGCTTCCATAAATAGAAAAAAAAATTTTTTTTGCTTATTCTTCCTTCCCCTTTTCCAATTGTCAAATATACTTCAGAGATGAACAGTGTGGGATATTGCAAAAAGAAGAGAGAATCTGGGGTAAAAAATAGATAACCTTATTCTGAATTCTATTCATGGAAGCTTCTGCTGAAGCAAATAATCTTCTATTAACAGAGGGAAAAAATGCAGTACAATTCTTTAATTTTCAAGTGGCTGTAAGTTAAACATAAGTTTTAGAACAACTGAACAAAACATTATGCTTGTTGACAAATTAGAGGGCAGCAATTAATTACTGATTAATTTTAATTCATTTGTAGTGCTTCTTTTCAAAGCATTACAAAATATGCCAAAATACTTTCAGCACTCTAGGATCATTCTGATCCAGTTATATTTACAATAAGAGAACAATTTGTATTGTGAATTATTAACTGCATGCTACGTTAACCAAACTGAACTAAGAAGAAAATTAAAACATTAACCAAGAAAAACTCTGCAGGTTCAGCTAGAGAACAACACACTACATGATCAATTGTAAATTATATCAAGTGAGTGCATAATTACAGTAATTTAATGCAAATAATCAATTTTATTATAACAGAGAAATATTATATGTTTTGCAATTATTAGGAAAATGCATTATTCAAAGGAAATTAACTTCAAGTCTCAGCAGTTGTTAATATAAAGAGTGTTATTTGGCAGAACATTTTTGTCGTCATTGCTTGTCTGTTGCAGTATACTAAAAAGAATAAAAAGCTCACAGATAAATAGGAGTTTTGAAATGCTTCTTATTTCTTGATCTTATCATATATATAGGTATCATCTAGGCACATTGCTGAACAGTAGCATTACTACTAGATGTTTCAAAACAATTTTCAAGCTATAGCATCAGATAAAATCAACAGCAGAAACATGGAAACCAAAAATTTTAAGAGAGAAGATACTTCTATTTTTCCAAGAGAATATATTTTTCCAAGAGAATATACCTTATCAGTTTTAATATACTATTTATAATATTCCCACATTACTTTTGATTATATTCTGTTTCAAGCTTCCTATTCTGAAAGAACTCTTTATCCAATAGAAGACTTAAAAATAGAAGAAGATGAAATTATGGTTTCATTCAATGTCACAGCACTCTTCACATTGATATATCTACAACTAGCAAAAAAGTCCATGGCAGTAGTACTACACCACACACCTAATTTAGCCAAATACACTAAGACTGAAATACCCAGAATCAGGGACCTCATCAACCTCTGCCTCCCTACCTACTTTCAATCTGATGGATAAATACACCAACAAATCAGAGGAACACCCATGGGATCACCACTCTTAGGACTCATAGCAGAGGCCATAATGCAGCATCTAGAAGCTATAGCACTCCCACACAGATAACCAAAAGTATGGATCAGGTATGTAGATGACACCTTTACCATAATAAAAAATGAACTAGAGAAGACACATTAAACAACGAATAACATCTTCAAAGGAATAAAATTCACAAGGGAAGAAGAAAACAACAACACACTACCCCACATGGATAACCTCATCAGCAAAAGAAATAACGTCAAATTAGAAATGCAAGTCTATCAAACAACAATCCAAACCAACCAAGTGTTCCATTACCAAAGTAACAACCAACCTCCCACAAGAGGAGCTGTGTAAGAACATTATTCAGATGAGTGCAAATGCACTGCAGCACCCAGAACACCAGGAAAAGGAAACAGACCACCTATACAACATCTTTTAACAAAATGTATACCCACACAACTTTATCAAAAAGTGCCTAACCACTCAACCCACTACAGCACAACCAACACAAGCTATGGAAAGGATAACGCTACCATACATCAAAAACTGGGATGCTGGGAAAGACTGAAGGCAAAAGGAGAAGAGGACGGCAGAGGATGAGATGTTTAGATAGCATCACTGAAGCA